CCATTTTACATGGGGTGGATTTTGAAAAGGCCCAACAACTCAAAAAGAGGCATCAACGAAGTGTTGTGGACCATCAGTAGCAGGAGAATTGTGTTCAAATACAAACTGTAATCTCCTAGACTAGGATATCCCTCACTCTACATCACTATCAATCTACTTTCAAAAATGAGCAAAGTGACGGCAGGGAACATTGATAATACTGTCTTGTGGCATTTGCACAACAAGAACCTGCTCTCTAATGCTCACTTTGAATTTTGCCAGGGCCACTCAGTTCTTGTCCTGTTCCAAAAAAGTTTATTTCAAACATGGACACAAGAACACAAGAAATGGGAACAGGTGTTGACCACGTCTGCTCAGTCATTTAGTGTAATCATAGCTGATCTTGGGTTTCAACTCCACTTCCCTGCCTGCTATTCCTTGATTCCCTGATAACAAAGGAGTAAATTCCAGAGGTGAGGTGAGAAGCTGTCCTCGACATTAAGGTAGCATTTGCCTGAGTGTGGCATAGATGAGTCCTGCAAAACTGGAGTCATTGACAGTCAAGGGGAAAACTCTCTACTGGATGGAATCATAAATAGTACAAAGGAAGAAGGTTGTGGTTATTGGAGGTCAGTCACTTCAGCTCCAGGACATCATGAGTTCCTGAGGGTATTGTCCTAGGGTCTATCATCTTCAGCTGCTTCATCACAAATTCGACTACAGCTCCTCAGACATTAAAGGAGGTTTGGGGTTACAATTGGCAAGTAATATTCAGGCTACACATATGTCAGGCAGTGACCATCTTAAACAAAAGAGAATCTAACCATCTTACCATGACATTTAATGACATTACCATCACTGAATTCTCCACTATCAATATCTTGCAAGCTACTACTAACCAGAAACTGAACTGGACTAGTCTTATAAATACTGTGGCTACACAGGCTAGGAATTCTAAGGCAAGTAACTCACCATCTTGGTTCTCCTCTGCCCAACACCTTTAAGTTCTGAAGAGTCATTCCAGACTTTTGATTGCCCTCTGGGGTAGATAGGGATGGGCAATAATTTCTGGCCTGGCCCATAATCCCCACATCCCATGAATGAAAGAAAAAATTATTTGATAAAGGGAATTGTTAACTCTGTTTCTCTTTTGACAGATGCTGCTAGGTCTGCTGTGTTTCACCAGCATTCTCATGTGTTTGTTTCATCTCCTGTCTTCCTAATGTCTGTCCATCATCTACAAGGTACAATTTGAGTGTGATGGAGTACTCTCCAGCTGCCTGGATGGTTGTTACTATCCAGGGCAAAACAGACCACTTGACTACCACCTTCAACATTCAGCCCCTGCACCACTGATGCACACTGGGAGTCAGTGTGTACGATCCACAAGATGCACAACAGGAATTTCTCGAAGCTCTATTGACAGCACCTTTCAAATCAGTGACCTTTGACAACTACAAAACAGGCAACTGATGCAAGGAAATACGATTGCCTGCAAAATCCCTCTCCAAGTCAGTCACCTCCCTGATTTGGAACGATATCACTTATTTTTCACTCTCACTGGGTCAAAATTCTGGAACTCCCTTCCCAAAAGAGTGCAGTCCCTCCAAGGACTGCAATGGTTGAAGAATCACTCAGTAGTTCAGCACCACCTCAAATCGAATTTGGAATGAGTAATAGATGCTGGACCAGCCGGCAATGCTCACATCACACAGAAAAATAAAATTAAGTTTTTAGAATTCAGTCTGCTGATACAATTAGACAGATGGAAACAGAATCAGGTGCGAGCAGGAGAATAGTTATCGACTGTATGAAAGGCTAAGTCAGGTGAAGAGGAATAGTTTTCCTTTGTCACAGCTATATTTAAGGGGAGGTGATGGCCTAGTGGTATTATGACTGAACTGTTAATCCAGAGGCCCAGGTAATGTTCTGGGGACACAGGTTTGAATCCTGCCATGGTAGATGGTGGAAATTGAATCCAGCTTTCAAACAAAAAGTCTGGAATTAAGAGTCTAATGATGACCATGAATTCATTCTCGATCGTCAGAAAAGCCCATCTGGTTCACTAATGTCATTTAGGGAAGGAGATCTGCCATCCTTACCCGGTCTGGCCTACAGTGATGCAGTTGACTCCTTACTGCCCTCTGGGGCAATAAATGTTGGCCTGGCCAGTGATGCCCACATCCCATGATTAAAAAGAAAAACAAAATTGTGTCTTTAATACAGGGAATTGTGGCAAAGGCAGGAACCTGATTAGAAGTTTCAAACTGGAAGTCTGAAAAAAATGGGACATGGATTTGGAACACAACCTCATATTTAAGGTCTTTGGAGCAGAAAGGGAGATCTGAGGTGGGAGTATTGTTTGCAAGGATGACTTTTCAAAGACTGGTTCCGTTAAAGAGGGAAGTGAGCGATCTGAGAAGATGTTAGCTGATTGATACATTTGGAGTAGTGAGGCCATGTAAGATGACGATGTGAAAGGGTCACTATGTTGGCAGCACAATATTTAGGGAGGATACATGAACTCAGTTGAGAGAGAGCATGATGAGTCAAGATGGAATTTGAAACCACCAAGCATGAGATACAACTCAATGCAGAAGGTGAGGGGGCAAATCCGTGAAGACACCTTGGCGAAATATTTTCTTGGAGATGGTGAAGAATGATAATTTTGAATTAGAGGTGGGAGGAGTAAAGTTAACATTGTCAAAGGAAGGGAAAGAGCCAAGAGCGGTATGAACCAGATTAAATTGTGATTTAATAATAAGAACCAAATTATCATCAATGACAGCCTTGATTGTGAAATTAGTAGAATTTATAGCCAGACAGGGAGACTTTATTTAGCGAGAAGGTTTGATCATCCTTTAACCACAATTTGCTAAGACCATAATGTTGATACATCATCCAGAATAAAGTCATGGATGGCAAGAGCCTTGTTCACAAATGAATGGACATTCTAGAGATATGAAGTCGAACAGTGAGAACTGATTGATTGATAGGGTCAGCAGTGGCTGGAGTTTGATGGGAAAGAAATTAGCAGGATTTGCCTCCCACAGCCCTCTTGGGAAAGAGGTTCAATGAAAAAGTAGGATGAGCCAGCTGGGCTTGCTGTTCATAAGAAGATAGTAGTGATATAGACTATTCATGGGATTCAAGTGAGGTGCTGAGGGAAACTATCATCTCATCTAATGTTAATTGATTCTAGGCCAGTTGGGAAGATTGCAGTCAAGACATATAGACCTTTACCCTTGCAGAGTTTATTGACCTTCTCAGTCACATCCACGTCATCCCTTAGCTGGTGTTACAGTTGTCCTGTTTTGCTCTGCATATATCCTGAACCACCTATTTGTTCATAACCTTAAATAAAGTTACAAACAAATGTAACAACATGATTAAAAACCTAAACAACTGTGGATGCTGTAAATCAGGAACAAAAACTGAAGTTGCTGGAAAAGCTCAGCAGATCTGGCAGCATCTGTGAAGAAAAAATCAGAGTTAACGTTTCAGGTCTGGTGACCCTTCCTCAGAACTCAGCAGTTCTGAGGAAAGGTCACCAGGCCCGAAATGTTAACTCTTGATTTTTCTTCACTGATGCTGCCAGACCAGCTGAGCTTTTCCAGCAACTTCAGTTTTTGTAACAATGTGATTAACCAGACATTAACATCTAGGAGTGAGTCAAGCTTGGAGAGTGGCAGAAGAGTAGGAAGGTCAAGGAGTCAAGAAATAAAAGGAGACGAGTTGATAGACAAGAGGGTTCTTGGAGAAAAGAAGTAAAGAGAAAAGAAGTAAAGATTAAAAAACAGAAAATAGTAATTTGACTAATTCCTGTTTAAGGTGGCTTACAAGTTGTGCTGAAAAATGGTCCAAAGTGATTTTGATAAAGACGTTTTTCAGTGCTTTTTGACACAAGATGTTCGACTCAAAAATGATGTCTTATTGTGCTCATATACATGCAGTAAGATGGGTGTACAATGTTAAACTTCTACCCAAGGAATTTATAAATGATCTTTCTACAGTCACATGAGGCAACTGAAATTCTTTATAAATATTGATTGAAGTATTCAGATTTTTTAAAAGATTTTTCAGAATATATTGGTATATTTGTAGGTTATATATTCTACTTATTTTTTCACACATTTTAGTATGTTTAATTATTTCATTTTATTAATTTTGCAACATTTTCCCAAATGACCATTCTTGGCACCTTACAGTATTTGATGGTTAATGATAGAGGATACACAACCATTGTGTATCTATACAAGCGCACTGTTCTTGGATAACAAGAAAATATGTTGCATTATGGCATCAAGTACAGCTACAGTTAGTCTAACATAAATACTGGGGCCTTTGGAGCTAGTACAGATACATCAGCTCCCTCCAAAAACTGCAGTAGAACTTCTTAACTCCATCCACAGACTGTGTATGGCATCACTGAAATGGGCAGATCCAATGTAAGGTAAACATTAGCCCCTTCAGAACCGTTACCTTATTCAACAATTTTCTGACCAAAATGTTAGTGGCCAGCACAATTTGATTTATAGTTTTATTCTGACATATTTATCCTGGATCTAACAGACAATATTCTGTAGAAAAACTATCAAACATTTCACAGTAAATCACATTAGGCTTAATGAATTGTGTGTAAAATAGTGTGACATTAGTAGTGATTAGGAATACACGAGCCTGAGCATGAGCTATTGCTAACACATTTAAAATTGATAATATGTGCCTAACACATTCTCACCAACAGCCCAAAGCACACAGCTCTAAGTTGTATTTAAGCAAGTGTCTCTTTTCTAGCTATCATGTGATGAGACATAATGAAGATTTGTCTCAATTGGTATGTCATCACAACATAAGTGGAAATGTCATAACAGGTACACCATGAATTGCTGTTTTATCTTGACACATAGCAAGGATGATGCAGTTTGTTTTATTTTTAAATGAGTTAACTTGAACACAATTATTAACACAAACATTGAAAATTACAATGAACACAATGTTTACATTGACTTTTGCTCCAAAGATACATTTATCAGCTTGGTCTGGATTCAATCTCAACCCATGAAAGTCTCTTTACAGCCATGAGACAGCAACAGCAAAGGACTATCAACAACCTGAACATAGTATCTAATGCACACAAATACATGGCATAAGATTGACTGCTTAATCAGAAAGGTCTGAATAATGGTTAAGTATGGAAAATTTAAAAAAGAATCACGCTTGAGTAGTGCATCCTATTTGGCATAAGTTAGAGATGAGGTACATTGTTGAAGATGTCAATGAAACCATACTTTAAAACAATAAATGACTAATTCAGTTTACTTCTGTTGACGTTATGCAAAAATATGATGTTGCATGCATTTAATTGTTCTGCTTATGGGTAAGTGCATCTCAAATTTGGATTCCATATTTGACAGAAATGTCGTCAATATTTCCCACATGATAGCTTAAACAAATTTCCGTGATTTAAAAAATGCAGCCTGCAATTGAATGTATACAATACAATATTCAAAATATTACATTGTAGTTCCAAATTACTTAATTACATACCTTTCATTATTTTTAATTTAGCTTGACCAATGGTAAAATTCCAACATAAATAATGATGAAGTTTATATTTTTAATTAATTAACTGTTTTAACTATCCCCAAAAGCTTGTAAACAAATTCAAATATATCTTACATATTTGCTTCCTTTATTAAATCACAGGTGCACAACTCCATCTATCCTTTGAATTAAGGATGTGAATTCAATTGTTTTAACAATGTCTGATGTCAGTGCTGAGACAATGGGACACTTTGTTTCTGCTAAACAATGTGCATAATATGCTACATCTTTGTCACTTTCTGACCCATATGTTTCCTTTGTTAACTAAAATAGCCATATCATACAAGCAATATTTTTCATTCCCAGTTGTTGCTAAACTCACAGCGGGGCAGCCTTCTTCCTTCATCAAGGAAATGGTTGCAGTAAAACTGCCAAAACTGACTATACCAGGATTGAGAAAAGTAAAAGGATCAACCAAGATTATCCTGATTGTTATCCATTGAGCATCATTCACCCACTCCATGTAGTGAGGGTGGTGAAGTGGGAACAAGAATCTTTACTACCTGAAAAACTGAATCACCCAAGAAACTTGTGGAGTTAGTACTCGTTAAATTACCAGCGCACGATTAAAATTTCTTTCTGGACTAGAAGGCTGAATTACATGGAATTGTAAGTCATATGTTAAGAGCGCACATGGAATAAACGAAAATAGTTAAATAAGGAGGATGATGTAATGTCTGAAAGCAAGTATTCATCAATGTCGGTAATGATCTGCCAAATGTCTATCTAATCACTGATGCCTATGAGAGATGGCTTTGAGCTAATTAAAACATTGTAACCATAGCAATGAAATAATTGGAAAGAATTGAGAAGAACAACATGTATTTTAGTTTTATTCATGTATCTTCGTTAATTGGTTACATTTCGTAACTTGGTATCTCTGCAATTAATAGGGTCTACTGTCACCTGCATGCATTTGCTTTATTGATAATTTGCATTTTGAGATTTCAATAAGGACCTGATCCTGCATTGATACAACTACTTGTTTGTGCACTGTATCGCTTAAAGTAACAGGACAAATTTACACAATAAAACTGACCAATGGGAATTTGTCAACAAGACGCACCAGAATAAGAAAGCAGGCAGCATCATGTTTAGCTGAATTGTACAGCCCCAATCACCACCAAAAATAAAACTGCCACCACACTGTAACACAGCCTCCTGACATTGGTGAAACAAAAATAGAAATTGCTGGAGAAATCTAGCAGGTCTGGCAGCATCTGTGGAGAGAAAGCAAATTTTTGGACCCAGTGACCTTTCTTCAGAATTCCTCACATTTTTGTCTGTCATGCAAGAAGAATCCACTCAACCAAGGTCTGGTGGTGTCTCTGGAACTGTAGTGTCTGCGCAACACGAAAGAAAGAAATAACATCGTTGGAAGTAAGAAGAGAATTGCTTCTGGAAATAAATAGTGGAAATGCTGAGTAGAAAAATTTGGTATCCAATTAACATTAACCCACTGAGTTGGAAATTAAAGAACAAAGAACAGTACTGCACAGGGATAGCCCCCTGGGCCACCAAGACTGCACTGGCACATGATGTCTTTCTAAACCAAAAAACGTTCACCTCTACCCAGTCCATATCCCACTATTCTCTCTCTTTTCACCTACCTGTCAAGATGCCGTTTAAACGTGGCTATTATATCTACTTCTACCATCACATCTGGCAGCACATTCCAGGCATTTACCACCCTCTGTTTAAAAAAACGCTTGCCTCTCACGTCTCCTTTAAACTTTACCCCTTTTACCTTAAACTTATGTCCCCTAATTATTGACATTTCTACCCTGGGAAAAACACTCCAACAATTCATTCTATCTATGTATCTCATAATTTTGTAAACTTCAGATTGCCCCTCAGCCTCCAACATTCAGGTGAAGACAAACCAAGTTGTCCAGTCTCTCCTCATAGTTAATACCCTCCAAATTAGGCAATATCTGGTAAAACCTTTTCCGTAGCCTCTCCAAAGCCTCCGCATCCTTCTGGTAGTATGGCAACCAGAACTGTTTACAATATTTCAGATGTGGCCGAACTGAAGTTCTATAGAGCTGCAACATGACTTGCCAATTTTTATCCTCTGTTCCTTGATTGATGAAGGCAAGCAGGCCATATGCCTTTTTGACCATCTTATCCACTTGTGTTGCCACTGTCAGGAATTGTTAACCTGTACACTTAGATCCCTTTGTATGTTAATGCTTCTATGCGTTCTGCCATTTACTCTATACTTCCCTCCAGCATCAGACCTTCCAAAATACATCATCTTACATTTATCCAGACTAAATTCCATCTGCCATTTCTCCATCCAAATCTATAACCTACTGTATCCTCTGTCAATCCTCCTCACAATCTGCAGCTGCTCCAATCTTTGTGTCATCCTCAACCTTAGTAATCAGATCATATACATTCTCTTTCAAATCATTTACATATATTACAATAAAGAACCACTATAATGGTTGACAAAATGATGAAAATGCTGAAGAAATGAGTACAACTTAAAAAACAACATTTTGGAGTGAGGTTTTGCTCAATAAACTAAGAAAAATATGAAATATGAAACAGAATGCTACTTACTTATAGAGATAGAAAGGATTAATCACCTACCTGTGCAAACTGCATGATAAACTTGATAAGAATAGTAATGGAATAAAACTGCATGGAAGATCGCAGTGCTGTGGAAGTGTAACAAAAATAGGAAAAATTGTTTGAGTCAGAATCAAAAAAACTGATAAGAAAATGAAAGTCAAAGAAAGAGGATTAAAGCAAAGAATTGAGACCAATGCCATGATTCAAGTCACACGACTTTTCAATGTAGTCACCCAGCTTTAAGCATAAAATGCACTCCCTGAAAAGTGGACACATTTTAAATAAAGTAGAATGATAGAATCCCTACAGTGTAGAAGCAGGCTATTCAGCCCATTGAGTCCACACTGATCCTCCAAAGAGCATACCACCCAGACCCATCCTATTCTTGTAACCCTGCATTTCCCATAGCTAATCCACATAACCTAAACATTCCTCGACACTATGAACAATTTAGCATGGCCAATCCACCTAACCTCCACATATTTGGATTATGGGAGGAAACCCATAGAGACAAGGGGCGAACATGCAAACTCCACATAGACAATCACCCGAGGCCGGAATCAAACCCAGGGCCCTGATGCTGTGAGGAGGCAGTGCTAACCACTATGCCACCATGCTGCAGTGCAGATTATTAAAACCAGCTGTACGTTCATTAAAGGTTTTTGGATTTTTATCTAAAATATAATTCCTAAATAAGCATTTAATTCTGTGCATTGTTTTGAGCATCAGATTACAGGAACAAAGGAAAAGAAATGGAAAAGATGCTGCACTCACTGATATATGTGAATGCAGGACTAGGCCGCTTTATCACATACTCAACATATCAAGATTAGCTCTACCACCATTTTGCGATCCTATCCCTACCTTGTTTCTTCCTGTACTACAAATTTGTCTATGCACTGACTTTTAATTGCCCTTTTGCGATTTGCTCATTTTTTTCTCTTATTTTCTGTTCCCTATTTCATCCTTTCTTTTACCACATTCGTATTTATCATTGGCCTGTTTTTTTTCTCTTACAGTTGATCTAATTTTTTTTATTTATCCTGTTTATAATCCACTTCTTGCTTTTCTTGTTTGTATATATTTTATCTTATGTTAAAACAGTTTTCACTATAGGCTGTTGGTTCAATTTGGCAACTTTCCTGACTTTTCATTTGGCAAGTTAACTTTGTATTTTGATATCATTTTCTTTTTTCAGTCAAATACATTTGTCAGGAACACTTATTTTTATCCTTTATTAGTAAGCTGAACCTAAATACCCTATTGATACATCAGTGTCTGGAAATCCTATACTTATTGCCAGGTTCAATACTATCACATTACTACAAAGCCCAAGAACAGATACAAATTGCGTAATCATGTAGATTCCTGCGTTTGAAACCCTTACTTATCACAAGACTGTTCTGTAACAATACTGTTTGGTTTTAGAAGAGCAGAACAGGTCATTCAAACTAAATTTGGTCAGATAAAAGAACATTTTAGATGTCTAGTGAAGGAATACAGTTCAGAATTTGAATATTCGCCTATGCTTGTATTATGTTCCTGCAGTGTACACATCATTTGTGGCAGATATGATAAACCATTTAGGCAAGACAAACTTAAAGTTACAATGGATGAAGTGGAGCACATTACATGTATAAGACTATATGCATGCTGCTAGAATATAGGAACCATGCAATATCTGTATGCGGTATTCAACAAAACAAACAATGGATTTATAATTAAAAATCGAAAGAACTGCTCTTGCTGTAAATCAGGAACAAAAACAAAGTTGCTGGAAAAGCTCAGCAGGTCTGGCAGCATCTGTGAAGGAGAAAACAGAATTAACGTTTCAGGTCCAGTGACCCTTCCTCAGGTGGATATATAATTAGTGCTTTCTCAACCTTTTAAGCTTATACGTGATGTCATTCTTATGAGCATATTTTGAGAACTATTGAAAATATGCAGTCTAGTACAGAGCTTTATTTCTCATTTTCCTTGAATAATTTTGCATATCAGTCTTTCATAGTGTGTGTGATAAATGTAGATAATTATAACTGCCTAAGAATAAACTTGAACAAACAATTGACTCAGTTTCTGATAATAAGATCACATTTCTGAAATGTTAGCTTTGTTGCTCTCCAAAAATATTACCTGGCCTCATGAATATTTCCACATTTCTGTTCTTATTTCAGATTTCCTGGATTTGTAGCTTTTTGTTATTGAATTAATTCAGTTTGTGACTCATCTATGAAGTTACTGCCAGTAATTTTCTGCAAGAGCCTGAGCTTTGGTGTCCCCATATTTGTGCGTGAGATGTTCTCCACTACATCATGTTTACTCCACCATTGATGCTTGTTCCATGTTTAGCCCCTATGCATTTATAAAATATCATGTACGTCAGTAGATACATGAGTTGCAATAAGTGATGCTACCTTAAGAATGCTGTTTTAATTCAAAGAAAAACTCCAAATCAGTTAAGGATATTGAATGTAGTTACATATCCTAAGTATTACAGCAGAGATAACTCAAATAACGTACATAAAGAAATATAACTTTACCTTATTGCTTTGCCTCAAAGTAGGTTCATGAGAGATGGTCAAACCAAAGTCCATAATGATTCATTTACGATGTTAATTGCAGGTGTTTTCTAAAGCAAAATATTAAATGGACTTGAGTTAGATCATGTGGAGAAACATAAAGTCTTTATTTTGTTTTATAACATTTCATATGCCTATGAAAAGCTACATATTCTTGCTACGGTCACTTCTGTTCCAGTTCTTATAGTACCTGTTCTTGCATTTATCTTCCACATGACCTAACCTCTCAATATCATTACTAATGGATTTCATTGACTGGATTTTAATAGTTACAGTGTTCAACCATACTTATGATCATTTCATTTCGAGTTTTTAACAATTTTAACTGAATGCACTGCCTTGCTCTATGAGACCACGCTCTTAACGTATGTTCATGCCTGCTGTGAGATACAGAAAAAAAAACTTGTAAACAATGATAAATTTGAAACATCGAAGGACCAAAGGAATCATTTACTGTCCTGAACATAACCTCCCTTGAATTGATTTTAATGCTAATAATAATGTTACAAATATTCAAACATGTTGTATTTAGCCTCACCATCTGCTTAGCAATAATTAAGACACCATATATTTATGTACATTGCACTGTCAGACTTCAACATGTGTTGTTTCAGCTCATCTGCTACTGAAGCCTTTATCCATTCTTTTGTAATCATTTACACATAACTGTTCCAATCCTGGCTGGACTCCCATTTTCCACTAACTGTAAATTTGAAGTAATCAAAAATTCTGGCACCTCTCAGCTTGCCAGTCGATGTTAACTTTGAGTCAAACAAAGTCTCAATTTTAAAATTCTCATTTTCAAATTTGTTCTCCTTATTTTACACCTCATTGACCCCTCTGAGATATCTGCACTCACTTAGTTCAAATCACTTAAGCATCAACAATTTCAATTATACCACAACTGGTGGCTATGCCTGCAAAACAAAAACAAAGTTGCTGGAAAAGCTCAGCAGGTCTGGCAGCATCTGTGAAGGAAAAAACAGAGTTAACGTTTCGAGTCCGGTGACCCTTCCTCAGAACCCTAAGCCCTAAACCCTCGAGCCCTAAACCCTGGGATTCCTTACATAACAATCCTTGCCTCGCGTTCCTACTGTTGGACAGTCCTTAAAATGCACTTCTTGTAGAACACCTTGGATCACCTGTCCCAAAATCCCCTGAAATGACTTGCTACCAGGTTTTTTTTGATTATGCCTATGAAATGCCTTGGGGAGTTTAATACATTAAAAACTCTATTTAAGTACAAGTTGTCACTGTTGTTATTAATCAGATGGGTAGAGGCAGAAAATTGGCCAGAGAACTGTAAAGGAACTCTTCATAGGAAAATCCATTTTAAAGAGAATATAATTATTTGTTGAGGGTCTGTCAAGTAAGATTTATAAAAAAATAATTAGGACAGTACTCTCCCTTTTCTTACCTCTTCGCAAAATTTAATAAAGTACAGCAAGTCATCAAGTGAGGAACTGAAACCTTAATTTCCATAATTAACATTGACAGAAATGCTAGTACTGAGGGATAAAATTAATGCTCTATCAGGAAAATATTACCATTAGACTTTACAAAAATGGATGATGATTCTTTTGAAGGTATCAAGAGCTTTGGAGGATAAAATGATCCAGTGTATGTCAACAAAGACAGGTATGATGGGCATCCTGAGTTTAATCCAAAAATGATGCAGATAGTTGAGTGTTAGATAAATGGGACTTTGTGCTGAGTTAAGTTCAGAAACCTGATGAGAAGGCTGTTCAATTTCATCAAATTGCTGGCTAAGCACTTAGATGAGAGTGGCAGAGGCATGGAAGACTATTGCGGTGGAAGTACGTAATCTCTATACATAAAATAAAGAGCTTGAAACTCAGGGTTGAGTAGAATTTACAGCACATGACATTGATTCTTAGCAAGTATGTGGTCGAATACTATTCAACATGGATAATGGAACCAATTCAAAAGTATACCATCTTATCAACGAGCATTCCCTGGTCTGCATGTTGCTAATAACAAGCTGCTAGTACATGTTCAACACTGAAAAAAACGATATGTGCTTTATGGGCTATTTTATTCTAAAATTATGTATTTTAAAGATTTGTGAAGCAAATCCGCCACAACATAATAAACTGGAAATAATATTGAATATTCACAGTCCCACAAATAATTTAATCATTCATCAATGTAAGTAATTATATTTTGCTTTCAAGATGGTTAATGTTTGCTCGGAAGAACGCTGGCGCACATTAAACATGCACTAATTCATTCTGCGCTAAAACTAATAAAACCAATCATTGTAAATATCTGCCTAATGAGGAAGAAACTCACAGTCCATATGGTAATCGTAGAACACATGCTCCTACCAGTGTTTACTTTCTGTAACTTTCGTCGCAAATTTGTTTAATTTGTGTGTGGCTGCTTAAAATGGTTTTCAAGCTAAATCTCTAAAAGGTTTGCTTTTGGGCAAATTATAATGATCATTTGACAGGAGAGACTTTGTTAATTATATATAACTGGAAGGAAATGTGTACTTCACATAAAATTTTATTGTTTTCACTCACTGAATGCACTACTCATTAACCCAATGAAAATCTTACATTAAGAAATTTGATTTCATTTTTTGAATTAATGAAATCTGTGTTTTTTCCTACTTTTAAATACATTTTTAGTTTCTATTTAGTTTTCATACTAAACTTAATAATACCATTACACTAAGTTACATTACTGCAATGAAATGTTAAACACGAGGGTGTATGTTAATCAGTATCACTGCAAATGCTGTGGAAAATAGAATCTTTAATTCAATTAACATTCTACTGAATATGTTTCCTCCAATTCAACAAAGTTAAGATCAAAGCCATCATCTTCAGCCTTTAGTGTAACATTATATCCCATCGACCCTCTTCTTGGTCATTTGCTCATGCTAAATCAGGCTGTTCTCATCCTTGGCATCATATTAGACTCTGAGTCAACCACTTTCACTTTGTAAAATGTTGCACTTCTACAACTACATCAGCCCATTTGCTGGTGAAACCCACTTTCATTATTTTGGCACCTTCTGACTGAGCAATTCCTCACCAGTTTGGCTTTCCATCTCCAGCCTTTATAAACTTCAGCTTATCCAAAAATCTGCTTCCTTGCACTGTGCTGCTCATCCATTCTCCAACCTTGCAGACCTGCCTTGGCTCTTGAGCCACCAGCAACTTCAATATAAAATTATCTGTTATGAATATTTGGTTCATATCCTCTTGTAACTTTCTCTGCCCAACAACCATGCTACCCATTGAAATCTCTGATGTGTTGATTCTGGTGCATCCTTCCTTCACTTATCTCCACCATTGATAAAAATGCCCTTAGTTAGCTAGACCCAACACTCTGGAATTCACACCCAAACCCCTCCTGGTTACCAGCTTACTCTTCTCAAAATGCATCTCTTTGATGGAACTGTTAGCAATCTGTTCTGAGTCCTTTTTCTCTCTTTCAGCATCCATTAAGACACTTTAGAAAGTATTTCCAATGTTACAGGTGCTATTTAATTAAGGTAACAGTTCTCTGTACTTTAGATTCACTTGTAATAAATCTGGATTGCAAAGATATATGAACAATTCTTCATGTGTAGTCTCATTGAAATTTAGCAGCATTATTCCTCATAAACAGTGAAAGGTTTGACTTTTAAAATACCTACACAGTACTGTCCACTGGAATAACATGCATTGCTGTTATGAATATGAGTTTTCAATTATCACAGACATATGTATCAAATTTAACATACAATGAATAGACATATTGTCACAACTCAATTGGGAAGACTGCATCTACAATCAAGCACCACTATTCCATAAATCCATCACAAATATGTAACTCTCCAGTTAAACAACCAAGATAATCAATTTATCAGGTAGATTGCTATTAAGGAAAAAGGCAAAAGTAATTCACACCAGATTTTGTCATTAACTGGAAAATAACTATTCATTGTAATCAACTATTTTTAACAAATTTGCAAAAAAATATGCAATTACAACCATGTAAACTTGAACTAAACCACTTTAAAAATGTCAAGCATTGATTCATTCTCAAACCTCAAGCAAATATTCATTTATGAATGAGATAGACAGAAAAAGATAGTGACATAAAAACAATGGCTTGACAAATATAAACAGGAGAAAATTCTGTAGTTCAAGAGTCTAGACCATATGGGAGGAGAGTTATTTCTCATAGCTCTTTTGATGTATGCAATGACAACACACTGTTGTCTGCAGAGCAATGGTCAATCTTCAATTCAATAACTGACCAGGTAGACCTAAGACTTTTCTTGCATAAGAATTTTTTTTTTTTAAAAGGCCCTAAATTTTTGGCAGTGTTTCCTGACACCAGTAATTGCAGGCAACATGCTTGCATGCTATTCCGGTAAAGTGCATGCACACAATTCCAGACACAATATGCCATCACATAAAATTTACAAGTGCCATCATACGTAAAGGATACACTGTACACACACCAGAAAGTGTGTGTGCCTCTGAAACAGTATTCAAGGATGGCGTATGAAGATGTAGGGTGTGAGGAGGAGGGGAAAGGAAATCAAGGAGGAGGGATGAGGAAATTGGGACCTGGAAGGCCCTCTGCTCCCTCGCCCTCCTCCCTTTCTCTGTCTCTGTTTCTCTCCTCCTCTCTCCCCACTCTCATCCATCCCCTCCAGCTCTCTTCAACCTCATGAAATTTATGTTCCAGAACTTATTATAACCCTAACCAAGCTGTTCCAATACAGCTACAACACTGGCACCTACCCGACAATGTGAAAAATTGCCCAGCTATGCCCTGCAGACAAAAAGCAGGACAAATCCAAACTGGTAGTTACTGCTCCATCAATCTACTCTTGATCATCAGTAAAGTAAGGGAAGGTGTCATCGACAGCACTATCAAGCTGCACCTACTCAGCAATAACCAGCTCAGTGATGCCAGTTGGGTTCTGCCAGGGCGATTCAGGTCCTGACCTCATCACATCCTTGGTTCAAACTTGGACAAAAGAGCTGCATTCTGGAGGTAATGAGAGAGTGACAGCCCTTGAT